GTTATCAAATACGTGAATTGAGGATACCTGCACCTTTGCTGTGTATAAATATAGGTTTTATCAGACTGCATTCAATAATATCTCGTCTCATTCACGATTTCACTCAGTATGTGGACAGTCGAGGCTCTGAACCACTGCAAACAAATCGCCCTCCGGGGGCGTAAAGTGTAATTATATATAGGAAGGTCAAAGTTGATATATCAAATGTGATATAAACTATGATATGTAATACTCATGAGTTATATAAATTGTGGTCATCTTTTAAAATTATCCGTGGTGCAAAATATTCAATATTTTGATTTAATTAATATATAAACATTATTCTCAATAAAAAAAGACCCCCCCCCCCCCTCGCCTAAATATATACTATGGTGTACATGTGGTACAAAGTTACCTAGAACTGTGAGTTTTGGTACGAAGTAACGGTGTTATTGGAACGAAATTGTAGTTAATTTTATAATAATATAATTATAGTGCGGTATTTTTAAAACCAGATAATCCCCAAAATGCTTTAATTATTACGTTGTTTGCCTCAAAACAACGTTTGCGACGGGAAAATCATACATCAGTTGACAAATTATATAACAAAGCCATAAGGGAGTATATTACATCTGTGAGTGTGAGTGAACACACTGACAATTCTAAAGTCTGCTATATTAAAGCGGGACGCGCTGGAATTGAGTCCCAAGTGATGATAACAACACATGCTAAAAATGGAAAGGCTCATGGGTAGACACTTGTTTGTAAACAATCACGCGCTATGGCCTTCTGACGAATGCGCAGGTGACGGCGACCCCCCCCCCCCCTGCTTTAACATAATGTTGTTACTGTTCAACTTGAGACAACAAATTACAAGCACCAAACGCATTGTCGAGTTACTAGTAATGTAATTCTTTTTATTTAGCAGCTCTCAATGCTTCATGGTCACCTTCTGTGAACCCGGTAACCCTGGTAACAGTTGACGTATGCGGTGGATGCCAAAATGGTGGTTTATGTAACGTAGCTGTCGGTAAATGTGCCTGCGACAAAGGCTTTGGGGGAGATCATTGTCAATTTTCGACGAAAAGTAAGTACAAACGAATCCATATTCCGCGTTTTTACTTTACTGTCAGACTGTGGGGTTTGAATTATAGTCACCGCGGCTCCTGCAATCTGAATCTGTTTATAAAATTTACTTTTGAGCTGCATATTCTAGGCCGTCTCACTTGTTTACGTGTTGTGTGTGTGTAACGTGCGTAGTGACTGGTTGGCCAGAACCGGACCCTCGCACTCGAAAATAAAATTACGACGTTGTTCACTGCTTGTGTATCTGTTAATAAAATAACATGCAGGTAATGTTGCCACATCATGATCGATATTTGTTATCAAACATTCGTGTACTGGTTGAGATCACTCTCCATCCCAGAGTTCTTAGCGCACTCAGGCAGGCTAACCCCTCTGCCACACACGACTGTTCACACTATGATTTGCCACATATCAATACGCAGGTGTTGTTCGGTTATTCAAGACGGTGGCCCAAACCCAGTTGGCAAGAAAATTATTAAATCTTTCTCTTCCCATACACTTTCATCTGCTTTGGTTTCAATTCAACGTCAGAATTGAATTCATTCAGAATACGTGTTAAAGTATAAATCCACTATATTTAAATACAGTTCGGGTTTGACCCTACCAATGACCCTGGATTTACATAAATGCATAATCAAGCTGTGGCAGAGGTGATTTGAACATGCGCCATTTTGCGTGGGGACTGGGTTGACATAATTGTAAACATGTGACGTCACAGCGCGACGGTCTATTAAAGCGCCACCGTCCTTATGCGAAGCGCTTTCGAATTTCTGTAAATAAGCAATGTATCTTGTATATGCTTATACGTCGCATGGGACCCACAACGCGGTGCGAAGACTGTGGCCCTTTAATTTATTACTCGTGACTTGGCGGCATGTGGTTGTTGTGGAATATTACCTATCGCTTTTATATTTCTCATTTTTTTTTACCTGCTGCCAACTTGTTCTTGGTGGTCCATTGTATCATATAGACATGAAGTCAAAGCCATCATATCACTGCAAAACTGACGGTGGATGTAAAAACGAGGGAATATGCGTGGACACGGGAGAATGTCTGTGCATACGACCGTTTCATGGTGACCAGTGTGAATTTGTTGATGGTAAATAATGCTATTTTGATGCAAGTCTAACACTTTTCCAAATATAAGCGAAGTTACCCGATGCCTCGTATACTATCACACGTGATTGACTTTTCAACACCATTAAAATATTGTGTTTTCATTTCCTTAAGTCAAAGTTCATTTACTATCTAATTAAATAGTTTCTTAATTTTTTTTTTAATTTGTTTTTACTAACCACAATAATTCACACTCATTTATTTTTCATATAATCATTTTAATTTGTTTGCCGAATAATATTTTAGTTTTAAAAATAACTAACACACGATAATTACTAAATCCCTCGTACTTACCTAATCCTTGCACTCACCATGATAATTCACACTTATCCCATGATCACCCACATTCGCATATTTCTAATATCAGGTGCGCTATGATAGAAGTGAGGAAGGTATTATCTCAGACAACTAATAACTATTAGTTGTCTGAGGTATGATTGAGATTGGTCGACGATGACCATTGTGTGCTGCATGGAATTCACACAGATGCCGGGGCCACAAAATATAAAACTAGTAAATACACAAGGTCGCGATATTGTGATAAATTCGAAAGTGTTTGAGATTTTTAAAGAGGCAATATGGGCGAGAACGACATGTTATTTTATGGAAGTCTTTAGTGCGGTTAGGGAGTCTGTGTGCATGTATGACTGTATGTGCATTTGTGTATGTGTATCTGTTCCATTGATATCTCAAGAACCAATTATCAGACTTCAGAAGTTCAATGAAACTTAATTTTCCAATTTTAAGCATGTTCACATGTTTCCCAAGCATCATTCAACATATTCTAATGACACTTGAAATATATATATAGTTGCTCTGAGATAATGCGCAGGTATGACTAGTTTTTGGTTGCAATCTGTGCATAATAATTACCAAATTTGCATATTAATTAGCTTTTTCACCAATTTCTCGACCACTCACTAGATTTCAATGAAAAATTACACATAGATGCGCTTAGATGAGCCATATACATTTTTTAGTTTACAGTTGAATTTTGTCCATACTAATTACCTAATTTGCATAAATTAAACAACTTATATCCACAGATATTTTAAGTACCACTCATAAAATTATAATGAAAAATCGGGTTGTAAACCATGCATATTACTTACCTCTTACTTACCATAATAAGTACCGTTGTAGACAGGGATATGCAACTGGTGCTAGTTGTTGTCTGACAAGATATACGACTGAAATTTCAAGTCATACATGGTCATGATTTTATTAAATATTTATAATTGCCATACCATAGCCCTATTGAACCACCCTGGATCACTACGTTCAGTTATATTTTTAATTACCGTATTTGCTGTATTAGAACATCTGCTCATTGTAATTGACCGTATATGGTCAAAATAAAATATATGATTTCGCATGCAATAAACACAATTTTTGCTTTATGTGTATTGGAGATGTGCTTGCAATATAGTCAATACAGTATTCCCCATTAGTACTTCATAACTCCAATACCATCAGCACACGGGAGTTCTTTCTAAGCTTTTTTTAATTGTATTGTTATTTGTTACTGTGTATTGGCAGATATATTGGACTTTGATTTATCATAATCACAAAACGCTGTTCTAGTACTACACAGCTGAGTATCGCTCGATGAAACTACGCAACTCTGCAATACGCATGTGCACTGATTGTATTGGTACGTACAATAACAGTCTCTGCACATGCGTATTAGTAGTTTTGGTTAGTGCAAAAACAACATATTTAGTTTATGATAAATCATAATTCGATTTAGTCTACAGTATATCCAACAGCAATATTTTAAAAGTATGTTTTCGTCCATGTAGCATCTTTAAGGGTGAACGAAAAATAACAAAATGGAAATGGAATGGGAATCATCACCTGGGTAGTTAGTGGCACACTATTTTGAAAAGAAAATTAACTGACGTGATTTCCAATACGTACAGACAGCACTCTTAGATTCGGTTTATGCGTTCAGTTGTACAATGTACTTATATTTTTAACCTTTCATTAATTGTCATCTTTAGATTGGTGGAATGCCTCTGTTGATGAAGAAAAGGATAAACGATCGATGATCGTGTCTGCAAGTTTTGCCGTTGTGGTTATGTTTGTTGTTTGTTTCCTCATCATATACGTCAACATCAAGCGAGTGAAAGAGGCGAGGCAGGACGCCATGGAGATACGAAATGCAACTCAAGTTGATGGTCCTCCACACCTGCGCATTAGTAGACGACTTCTTCAAAATCGTCACGATGACATTGAATCAGATGACCATAATTCTAGCGAGGGTTAGTTTTATTTTATCTATTTGTTTCTTTTAGGATAAATTATCAATTATAATGAGGATTGCCAAAAATATTATTTATTGTGCTAACTGATTTTATTTAATAAACATTACTTTTCAGAAAACGTCACTCCAACGGAAGGATGCTTTCTGCCTGGTATTGGCCATTTTCCAGGAGTGGTGGTGGTCGCCGTATAAGCCATTCAAGGGAAGGAGCCACTATGGCTGGTCTTCATCCTGTTAGCACTGCCCCAGCAATTCTGCAAGGAGGTATACCACCAAAATATGATGACATTGTGTCGCCAAATGACGATTACCCACGGGGGTCAACCGTGACAATTCAGGAAACTAACTTATTAATAATACCGCCCTCATATGACGAGGCAATGGAGGCAAACGAGCCAGAATCTATTCGTCTGCACTCATTTGCGCGGGGATCGTCAACTTCGAGTGGCATATACATGAGAAGCATTGCGAGTGAAACAGACAGCCAGGAAGTATTACAGGAACACGGTGATTCGCTACATCACATGCGGCGATGCAGTGCAGCTCATATTCGAACAAGTCCCCGAATACCGGAGGAATCGGACGAAAATGATAGCGTTTTTGAGGAGGAGGGGGAGGAGTCTTCTGGGAGGCGAAGACCTAACCAACGATCTGACTCGTCATCTGACGATGCAACTCCGGAAGAAATTGTTGTCAGACAACATCTCATTGGTCCGCGAAGGTCACGTGATATTGTTGGAAGCCTTACTACTAGGAGTGATGAGATTGATGAATTCCACCGACTGCCACAAATTAACACACATTTATGAGAAGCAGAATCATTTAAATTACCAATTAAATTGTCTCTATACAATATTTATTTAAATATGTGCTGGCAGTGAAGGCACTTTTAGTTGCACAAGACGGGTAAGGTGGATACGGTGTGTTTCCAGCGAATATTGCCTAACTCCTCAAACAAAAATGGCAATTGCGGCAAGTGCTGTTCGAGTTCTTAGTAATTTGCATGTACGTTATTTAAACGACTATATTTCATATATATATGCATTGGCTTCAACACCATCACAGAAAACGTGAAACAAAATCATTTGATCGACGTTGACGGCGCATGTTTATATAAAAACTCGTCTCCCACCGATTGATAAAACTGAGATTGAATGCGACGGCGATACAATAAACCAGTAGTAAAAAGAAACAACATTCGTTGTACTGCAGTATGGGTTATGTTTCACGCTGACATGCCACGGCTTCTTCGCCGATAAAGAGATTATCGTGGCCCAATCTCCGGTCACCCTGTTTCCCAGACGCCAAATTGGTAGTACTGTCTACAATTTTTGCATATATATGTTTGTTCAAATCGAATGTGGGCTTCCACACAATCAACTCAAGACAGAAATTATTTGTATTTTTGATAATGCGTAATTGGTGTTTTTCTTTGAATAAACAGAGAATTTTTTAAATGTTCTACTTGTTATTTATTTTTATAATACTTATTATTATTATCTGTCACCGTAACGCCATAAGTTACAGCGTGCCATAATTTTGCGGGGTATTTTCATTCTACCATATAAGGAAATGCGAATTCCAAATATCATGGATTAATTACACGCGTGAGCGTCTTCTAATAATAAAGCAAACATGGCTGCCACCATGGTTTGACGGGACTCCGCACAAAGAAGTTCGTTATTCTGTTCTAAACTTTTTGGATTTCAGCATTCCCATGATGTATCCTTGGAAGGCAAAGATGTATAATAATAAGGTTATTACGACGATACATCAAAGTATGCACTCAGACAGTACACCGTCGCATTCAAGATACTTCCGCTGTACTGTCTTCGAGCATACTTTGAGGTATCCTTGTAATAACCTCATATATACTAGTATATACATATTGTATTCTCCCTAGTAAAAGTTACGCTAGCGTAAGTTGCGCCTAATAATTGAAAAGGCAAAAAATAAGCTGCAGATAGACCGCTTGGGTTGTCGAGATAGTTCAGTCTCGTTTGTGTTATTATAATACACTGTAGACGTGTTCAATCCAAGCAGCAGATCTCGAATCTATTCGTATACAGGTCTATGCAACAACATAAACTACCTTGTGAAGTGCAGTTTATGACTCCAATTTACTTACAAACAGGTCGTGAATCATGTCATTTAGTGATGGCGTTTAACGCGGCGTAAATACCTTCGTCGTGTATCACGCCCTCTCATGGCAGCCCAAAATTGTGCCCTCCTTTTTTGGTCAACGGCGAAATATGCTCTGGCGTAAAAGGGCACAAGAACAGATGTAATCGGGCTAAATTTCGAGTAGCCTGAAATTTTCTATAAAGATACTAAGTGTACCGAATGCACAATATTTGTGACTTTCATTATTGTTAGTGTTCAGACATACAGACGCAAGTACCACCTAATTCGCCTCATCTATATATATTGCTCAGTGCAGTGCTAAAGCAGTGCCATGAGAAATCCCAACATCCTATATAAGATCTACACTGATATTTTGAAGTCAGTTTATTTACCAGTTTTACAATGATCAGTATTTTTTCTTATTATAAATTAATACTTACAATAATCCTCACTGTATATACAGACAGTAAGATGTGTATGTAGATCGCTGTAATTGTCATCACACAGTCATGTGTTTAGGCCAGGAAAAAATCTCTATTTCTTGTTTCATGGAAATTTTAAAATGAAGCGGCGAGGGGATTTTTTTTTTATAATACAGAGCTAACATGGGGGAAATTTGAGACAAGTGCGAGTACAAGCGCATTTTGGAATGCTTTAGAAGGAAAAACAAATGTCTGAGGCGCATAGTTCAAATGATGCGAGCGGAAACAAAAAAACAGAGATATTTTTTGTCTCAGCCTTAGTGTATTTGATGGATTTTTTCGTGACGAGAGAATGAACGCCGTGCAATGTACTACATCTCCGATAAATAATAATTTTACAGCCATAGGCCCATGATTGTATTTCGATACAGAAACCACCGGTAAACTACACCCATAGTCATGTGCACAAAACTATGAACAAAGTAATTTAAATAAGATTCAATCCGTTACATTATTGCTTAATACAAAAAATATCCAAGGTTTTGAACTAGCATATCAAAATCTGTAGTAGCCATCAGGTTATTGAATTTATTGACCATTGGGTATGGCCAGAAATATTTTGATATGGGTTTAAGTCGCGTATACACTGGTATAACGGGCATACCAATATAAAAATGTAACCCGTCTGAGAAGAGTTCACATATTTTTTTCACCCGGATCCAGCCCTGTAAACCTCTCATCATGGGCAGCGTATTCGTGACACTGCATGTCTAAATATTCGTGACACTGCGTGTCTAAATATCTGATTTCTGAAATAACCATTAAATATCTGTCTGGTTTTAAACAATGTTTTAAAATGTCAATATTTTCGTAGGTTACTCTTACCTGTACACATTTGACTATAATAACATTTGTTTAACAGATGATTGATTTCCAACATAAACACATTGACACCTCAAACTATTCAAAAGTCACTGGCATGTGTGCATAGTAAGCTTTTAAGTTCTGGAACCCAAGGCGCCCTCAAATGTTCATCAACGTTATATGTTGATATGCAACGTTTATATGCATGTCTTAACTATTCTATTTTCAGACATTTGAATTAAACGTAACCAATATTTAACGATCTTTAACGCATTTGAGATTTTTTACCTCCCGTCGCGCACAGTATTGCTTCATTTGTCGTGTTTTCGACTCTCATGTTTACGTAATGCTATGATTTTGAACATTTTTCTGAATATAATCAAACAAAGACGACCAAATCTTACCGAAATATTGTTTTAGACACAATTGCGTGGGTTCAGTGACCCATACAAGGTTAAAATGCAATGTGAAATCTAAGCGTCGAGTTGATTGTAAAATCATGATGCACGGCGCA